ACTTTGTAATTTTCCTGTTGAATATGAAATATTTTTTATATTCAACGGATTTTTTGTTTTTTTAACCCATATAACCCTGTTCGTTTTCCTGACTCACTGTTCTGTACACGCACTCATGAAAATTATGTACGTTTTTTAATTAAAAGAAATGTAAACTGAAGCATACATCACTTTTAAGGGAAATTTATTAAAAAAAAAAATATTTATGTAAATAAATTCCTCTTTAATTGTATTTCATGACATTTTTAAGTGCTTAAATGTAAAAGGGGAAAAAATGTCGCCTGATTAGGGTTTGTTTTAAAAAATAAGTGTTATATTGTGGGTAGGGTGATCATTTTTATTTAAAGGAATTCAAAATTTAATAATTTTTGGGAACTGTATTTTTTAAATTTTTTACAGCGATTAATATTTATTTTGTGTAAAAAAAGTTTAAGGACTTTATTTTTTTTTATCATATTGGTTAATTAAGGCATTTCATTTAGCAAGAAAATGAGTTTGGTGAACAGTATATACAATTTTATTTTATTTTTCTTTTATTTTATTTGTATACAGAATTTAATATTACAAAAAAATACATTATCTTGTCAAACGTCAATTTTTATTTCAAAAATTGTGTGTCTTCTTCTTCTTCTTCTTCTTGAGTTAGTGCTATTACGCACTTTTACTCTATAATGACTGGGGGGTTAATCACTACCCCACACTAGGCTTTAACTAGGCTAAAAAATCATATCATTTATTTGTCTTTTTATGTTGATGACGGACCTTTAAATCAGCATATTCTTCCATGAGAAGTCTAGAGGACTTTGAGGATTGTTAGGGCGGGGTTAATTAAAGCGATAATTAACTTAGTGAAAATTAATTTTTCGTATATTCCGTTATTAAATATCAACAGTATGAAACTAAACTTAAACATAATAAATAATATAAATCGGAAAAACAAAATATTTATTTTTAAAATAATACGTCTTTATAATAATGCTCACTTACAAAAAAATTGAACTTGACAGACCATATATTTAACGATGCCAGTTTTGTAAGCAATTAATAAACTTATAGATTTTACCTAGCCAATTGTCAACAAGAATTGGTCAATAAAGTTTTTCTACAAGAAAAGACTAATAATACATATATAAATACAACCCTAAATAATTATATATATATGTAAGAGTGATTTCAGATAAGTAATTAGTCTTGATAATATAAATAAAAATATGATTTAATTGAAAGTTTAGTTTTACTGATATATATGCATCCTTGAATTAGAAAATAATTGATTACGGAAAATAAAAAATATTGCATTTATTCAAAATGGTGCTGAGACTGTGAACTGATTTATATATTATTACAACATTTATAATTTATGTTAGATAACTAACTTGAAATAAATTAAGAATATCATTATTATATAAGATTTTTATTTTATTTATAGCTATTTTTAAGTGGGAATTCAGTACATAAGATATATTTCAGAATCTTAAATGTGTGAGATTTATTATAAAAATATACATTATATTTTAAATAAAATAAAATTATATACAGTTCCAAATGGTGCTGACTTATAAACTGTTTTATTATATTCCATTTTATTATGTTAGATAACTTAACTTGAAATAATTAGTTTCATTTTATATAGTTTTATTTTATTTATGCTATTTTAAGTAGGAATTCAGTTTACATAGTTTATAACTCTTAAATGTTAGATTTTTATTAGTTTGTGAAATTTAATTACTTTGTGACATGAAATCAACTTTTTAAATTTAATTAGTTTTAGAAAAATAATAAAACAAAAAATATGAAAAATTTAAAATTTTAATGATTTGAATATTTTATTCATTTATTTACCATAAAATGTTACTCATACGCTATGTGGTACAAACAATATACTGCTTATTAAATAAAATTAAAAATTATATGTGTTTTTTTTGGTCTTGTTTTTAAACAAATTACTTTCCTTCTTTTGCCAACAATTTATGTTATTATTTACTAAACAACCACACTTTAGAATTAAAAAAAGAAGAAAAAAAAACTGCAACTTGTCAACTGCATAATTTTGTTGCCTGCATGATTATTTCCGCTAACAACTGCCTTCATCAGCAACACTGGAAGGCGAGTAGTGTTTCGTATACGGTATAAAAATATCAACAAATAGAAAACCTCACAATGGAACATAAGTTCAAGCTTGGTTGGTGAAAGTACTTATTTGCTTTATTCCAAGAGTCGCCTTTTTATATGTGAAGTGGATCCAGTACAACTGCTTCTGCACGCCAAAACAATGCAACTACTTGCAAATGCTTGCAAAAGCCAAGTAGAAATAAGTTGGTAGCTTAGAATAAATGCAGCATGTCAAATGACAAAGCTAACAATTTGAATGCTCATGTGTGCACAATTGCAAACAACATTTGCTGCATGGTGCAATGTTATTTTATGTATGCAATGGTGAGGAAACAGTTGACGTTGCAGCCACGTTTTGTTATTTGTTTGTTGGAAATTTCAAACTTACAAGTTTCACTAAATGTTGGTATGTGACTTCTCTACTGCAATATTTGGCATAAAATTTTTTGTTGGCTTTTTTTTTTGTATATTTTAACCTATATTTTTATTGATTTTTGCTTTAGTAGGTAATTTACGAGGTAAGCTATTTTTTATGGTTTTACTAAAAATGAAAGTACAAGGTTAATAAATTTGATGCAAAATTTCAATTGGTTTGGTTATTTTTGGAGGTAATATATGTGATTTATTGGGGTTTGTGATTTATTGTGATTAACTGTGACACATATTTTTTTTATTTTTACCATCTGAGTAGTATAATTTTTCAAAAGTCATGTTTCTATTTTTTTAATATGCTAAAATACATATTTTTATTTATTTTTGCTATCTGAGTGATATAATTCTTCAGAACTCATACTTCTATTTTTTTTAATATGTTAGACTACTGTTTACATACAAATATAATTAGTACCCTGTAGAATACTAAATATTGGTGACAATAATATATATTTTTTAAAAGTAATTTAAGAAGTTGTGTATTATTTAATATTTACATTTAACAAATGTAATTAGAAAACAAATTTGAAAGACATTTGTCTTTTTTTGACAAATCCTTATAACTGATGTCAAAACAGTAGGAGGCACTTATTTGTAATACTTTAAGTAAACTAGAACAAAATCGTCCTAGTATTATAATTTTCGCTAACAACTACTTTCACCAGCAACACTGGAAGGCGAAGAGTACTTCAAATTTGGTTACATATATACACCAGCAGTTTAAATATGTTTTTAGCAGGCTCTAAGAAAGTAATATCACTAATTAAACTTTACTTAGCGAGGACTAATTAAGTTTTACAGCCTTTATATACAAAATTATAGGATAACATTTAAAAAATAAGTAAAAAACTCTTCAAAATGATTTCTCTCACTTTCAGTGCATTTTGTTAGATAGAACTTTTATATTTAATCTGCAATTTTTATTGAATGCAAAATATTCAGTGCCTTTTTTAAGTTTCCTAAAATGAAAAATTCAATTAAATGAAATTCAATTTTTACTTTGTTGCTATACGCATTAAATTTCAAACAAAACTTTACGTATTTAGCAAATGCAAACTTAAAATGTATAGTGAAAAGTTTTCGCCGCATTTAATGCATTTTTGCATGCAAAACTTTAACTTGCCAACTATGAGACTTTCACTCTTTTAATTTCATTAGCAAGTATGTAATGAATTCACATTTAATTGCATTTTACTTTCACAATGCATTTGCCGTAATCCTTGCACACATAAAACTAATTTGATTTCAAGCAGCATTCGTCCTACGGTCGTTGTTGGCATTTGGTATTTAGAATACATAATAATAAGATTAAAATGCTTAAAATATTTCTTATTATTAGAAATGTCATTTAAAGCTATTTCAACTATTTAGCATTAATACTAGAAATTTTGCTGTAATGGACAAATCAAGCATTTAAATAAATTCAAAAATTCTTTTAAAATAAAAATAAAAAAATTGAACTGAATTGAATTCTTCAAACTTGAAAGAAAGTTGTGCATTATTTCTATTCTTCAATAAATCTTAAATATTTTATTTACATATGCAACGACGAGCAACACATTTAATGCTTATAAAGCTCTACAAAATTCCTTATATATAATGAAAAAAGCAAATGAGTAAAAGAAAACATTTGAAAAACTCTTATAAGCTTACCACCAAAAGATAAATATGCTTGAAAACGTTTAACACAAGATGCGACGACCTACACTTAGTACAACACTGCGTATGAGTAACAACATTCATCAACGAGATTTTTCGTACATATTAGCAGCGTAAAAAAATAAAATAATAAATCTTATATAGCATTTAGTTGTTTACATCGTCACAGGCATGTTTTATATACTTTTATCTTTAAAAGTGAGCGCATTAGCAATAAAATTTTATGCTTTATAGAGCGTTTATAAATCTTTATAAATTGCTCCTTGGCAATATTAAAGCATAAGCAACTTAAACGGATTTATTTACTCACACATCACATATAGCTATATAGCTCACATATATGACAATTTTATAGAGTTTTATTTGTGTATGAAGAGGACAGACTGTCATACATTTTAAAGTGAAATTTTTATTGAAATTTTAAACATTTTTGCGAATTCTTAAATAATATTTTTTTAAAATTCTTAAAATCTTCTAAAATTCTGAAATAATCACTCAATTTGCTTTAGCAATGAAATCGCATTGCTGCACATGTATTCCCTTTATAGATGGATTTATACATTTTTATATGCATTTTCTTGTTGGCAATTTAAATTTTTATTACATTTTTAAATAATGCGAGTGTTTGTATTCCGCTCACATGTAATATTCCGCACAACTCAAATCATTTATCTTCATATAAACAGCAGTACTGCATCACAAAAGAGCAAACAACAGAAAAAAATTTTATATAAAATATTTATGCAAACTTTCATTTATCAAAAAATTTTTATGTATTCCATTTCTTTTGTTTGCAGTATGGAACGTGATCTGTTAACGCGAACTGATAGATTTGGTGTTGAAGTACGTGAACGCACCATGTGGGACATTCGTGATGGCGTTGTAGGAGCCGATACTTTTGTGCCAAAACATGTTGTAATAGCCACATGGAAGAATGTCTCATTTGCTGGCGGTATTGATAATTCTTTATTTAGGGTAAGTTTTTGACATTGTTTGACAGATTTTTTACAGATGGCTTCTCTTTACTTTCATCTTACAGTGTTGTATATATGCATATATACTCATATATTTATCCTTAATGTTGCTAACTGCAATCGTGCAAATTTGTGTTAATGTGCAAATTGTCAATGTCATTGTCAGTTGTTTTTATATCCTTTGATTTAGTAGTTTTTGTAGGAAATATAATGTCAATCACAATCTAAGTCAAAATTTTTTTGTAAAATCCATAAAACAAAAAAACTTTGAAAAATGATATCAAAATGAATGATATTCCACAAAACAAGAAAAAAATTATATTACTTACTTCTATTGTATTACTTCTTCTATTGTAGTAGAAAATAACGCCTATATGAACATAATTGTAATATTGATGAAAATACTTCAAAAAAATTAAATGCCTCAAAAAATTACAAAAAAATAATTGAGTTACTTGCTAAAATTAATAGATGTTATCTTGTTTTGTAAGAAAGTAACTATATGTTATGCTTGGGAATCACTAATTGACATATCAATCGCATATTTGCTTAACTAAATGAACCTAATAAGTAGTTTGTCAGACAAAATGTATTGCTTTGTAACTTTATTAGCATATCAATAGCAAGTCAGGGATTAAAGGCATAGGCAATTAAGTTATTTTCATTTCCACATATTGGCATTAAAATCTCATTAGCATTTTGTGTACATAGCAAGCGTATCTATGTATAAATAATATGATTTTCTGAATACTTACTATATAAGCATTTATATATATATAAATTGAATGTGTATTTGATTGATATATTATATGTGTTATAAGTGAGAAGTGCATAATAATTATATGACATGAATATAACATTATGTATTGGTTTAGTACAAATAATAGTATTAAAATTTTAGATTGAATTATTATACTAAGTTACTAATTTAGTATGCAATCAAGACAAGTAGACTGTTTTAATTTTCAATTACATTGAATTTTAGATTTTTAATGATTTGGTAAAAGTCTTTGTGATAGTTTTTAAGCGCATACTTGAATACATATTATAAGTCATGCAATGGAGTCTGCAGTTCTATTTCCATATTTCAAGTATATTCTATTATCAGTTTCTATTTCTGCAAATTACAGAAAAGGATTGACTACGGATCTCCTTCTGCGGTGGCCATACATTATTTCTTAATTTAAAAAAGTTTGTAACGAACAAATATAACGTTTGTTCACAATTTTATATGACTACAGAAATTAACCACTTCATTAGTACAAAATTAATTCTTCTAAATAAAATATTTAATTTTCTTTCATTTCAAAAATTTTCAAGAAAAAAGACATTAAAAAAGGTGTTTATAGTAAGCTCACCTATTAGAATTTACATGTTAGTCCAGTTAGTAAAGTAAGTCCAAAATTTCATTTGGATTAATAGTAGTGAGAGTATTACGCCAGCGGCGATAATTCTTTAGACTGTAGTTCTTTACACGGTAGTAACATGATCTATATGCTTCAAATCTATAAACTAAATCGGAAGAAACAAAATGACAGTCTCTAAAATAATACTATTTCTCATCATATACTGCTCTGTTAGATAATAAGCTATGCTTGATATGATCGTTTTTTTACTAGATCATGTGGTGTCTGATAAATCGACATTTGAGATGAAACATATGTAAGAAATAAATTTTATTTTCTTTATCAGCTTAAGTACAGAAATTAGCTAAATACTAGCGTTTCTTCATATGTCTGGCGGTTTATAAAATACCCAACCATCTTCTCAAAATTACGATGAATGCAGAACAAGAAAGTTGACTCTTCCAAAATCTGAGTTCCTAACACTATTCAATATTATTGCAAACTAAACAAATATTTAAGCATTAGATAGAATGTTATAAACTTGAAAATTTGAAAAGTGGCTTGTGAATTACAGTTATAATCTTGAGAATTTGAAAAGTAGGTTGTGAATTAATGAAGTTGGTAATAACTAGCAGCTGTACTCCGTACTACAGGTGTACTTTATTCGAGCCAGAATTTGGCAATCTATGGTATCTATCTACAATCACTTTTATTGCGAAGCAATTTTTCTTTTATTTTTTTTATTTATTATTTTTAAAATAAAATACCACAGATATCAGCAAAACTTCTTTTCAAGTTCTGAATTCTTTATAGCAGAGTTGAAAAATTATTGTGATGACCATCATTTCGCTTAACTAAAGCGCTCTAAACTTGTCACATTTAGTAATGTTGTAAATAGAAAGATCTATAAGTCTATCTGACATAATTAATTATAATTTTTTTTGTATCACTATTTTTTAATTTATACAATTTTTATATATTATTTTTATTATTTAATAATTCCGATATAATTTTTCACTTATTTCAATTATTATTTCTAGACTAACACATTCCAAATGGTATTAGCTACAGATGAAGTCTACACCTATGCTATTTTTAACTATGATGTACTCAATTGGTTGACACATACTGAAGCTGGTGGTGATACTACCACTGGTGAAGGTGGTACTCCGGCATTTGTAAGTACAAAAATATATATTTACTTTATTGAAAAATATATTTTACGTAAGAAAATATATATAAATATAAAATAAAATAATATATAAAGAGATTTTATTAAATTTTATCAATTTTATTAAATTGAGTGTATTCAATGTATATTCATTATTCATATATAAAGTTAAATAAATAAATTTACTTGAGATTTATTTTTTATCCACTTTAAATTAAATATCTATCAACTGATTGGGTTGTAATGCATTAAAGAAAACTTTAAGAGTGACTAGGAGCAATAAGTTTATGCATTTTATTTACTTCTTTTTAATAAATCCACTTGGAATGAAATAAAAATAGTACGTTTTATGGCTTTTGATTTCCAATAAAACATCAAATTCAAGTGATTTCTTATATTTTTTGCGATAAAGTGTGTACGTGCCAGCTATAAATTTCGTATATTTTTAAATACTACTTAATCGCCAATGTAGTAGAACATAGTAGTTAAGTGAAAGTTAAAAGAAATAAATATTCCAGTACTTTTATTTTGCTAGAAAATATTTAAATCAGATTTTTGCTTATTACTTTACACTGTACATGGACAATATTTAGTTAATTTCATTTTAATTAACTAAATTTAGACAAGTATTTTTTTTTTAAGAAGGCAATAATTTGATTTATTTTGGTTATATGATTTTACATGGGGAAAATAATATATAATTTAATCGTTTAAAATTCCTTTTTAAAACTTATCATATATTATTTAAGTTTTCTTTCGTAATAATTTTGTTTAATTTATAGATTTCAGAGATAAGCTTTGTTAAATATTATAAATTTATTTATATGTGTATAACATGATTAATGAAACTCCTCCTGAATTGAATAGTTTTGTTTGTTCATAAAATTTTAATACTTGCCAATATGTTTGCATTAAGTATTTATACAGCAAAAATAGATATATATATATATATGTATTTATAATTGTATGTATATTTATACATATATATAAATGCTCAATATTAAACCAAGAATTAATTATTTGAGTTTTTTTTATACATATAATTGTTTAATTAGTGCTAAAGTATTTATTATAAATTTTTATTACACTTTATAATGCTGCAGTCACTTACTTCACAATGTACAGATACTGCCAAATTGATGGACTTTATGATTTAAAAACATTATTACCATAAATAGTGTAAATAAAATTATTTAAATATGCTATAAAAACATGAATAACTTTTGATGATAAAATGAAAATTATTTTATTTATACTATTATGTAAATTTTACTTTACATATAAGCAAATAATTTATTTATTATGAACGTAAATTAAATAAACGAATATGAGTTAAATATTCTATAAATGCACATCTAAATTATATTTACATTTTTCAATTAAATTCATAAAGTTTTCATGCATAAAATTATTTATTTAATATATATAAATTTCATAGGTTGGCTTTAATGCTGGCAACGGCACTCAATCGTATGAATATAAGCCATACAGTCAAAATATGGTTATTCGTGATTTAACAGGACGTGGCTGGGCAAATGGTTTCCCCGGACGACACATATTCCGTATTGATGAACGCATATTAATTGGCTCTTGCAATAAAGATATTGGTGAGTCTGATTAATGATATTAATATTTATTATTTAAATTTTCATTGATATTTATATTGAATAAACTGTAGCAAAATAAATAAATTAATAATTTTCTCAATTAAAGATATCTTTAAATCAATATTAATATAATATATAAAAAATTAATTTAAAATGCTAATTTATTTTAATTTAATAATAATTTAAGTTTTAACAATATTTTTTTATTAATATTAAATTAATTTTTATTTTAATATTATATCATTTTTTAACGTAATTAAAATTTAACATAATTTACAATCCGTTTAAATGTATATTTAATAAAATTAAGTTGAATACAATTTGCATTTTATTAAATTTCAACTTAAATAAGCAATATTTATAATATTATAAAATTTTAAATATAATTTAATATAACTCAGTTTTATATTCAATGAATTTTAAGCAAATATATTTTTTACTCTATTTAATTATTTTAATATTTGTGTTGTTAATTTCATTAAATTTTAGTTTTAATATTTTAATAATTTATTTCAATTTTATTTACTTTTAATATTCAAAAATATATTTATTGTGTTTTACTTCATTTATAAAATGTTATGTTTAAATTAATTAAATATTTAATAATACTAACAATTATTCAATCTGAAATTAACATAATTGCTGTTATCACTACATTAGTTTTAATTTAATCGTATTTAATTTGAGAGTTGTTTTAATAAGTTTAAATTACATGTGAAATCATGTTGAAGTTTAATATGCCTGAAATTATAAATTTTGTATTTATTTTCATTTAATCTTAATTCAATTTTAATACATGTTCAAATATTAAAATTTTTTTAAAATAGCCTGTAAATAAATTTTTGATTTAAAACAATCACAGCTTGCATTTAATTAAATTTTGAAGTAATCTTTACTATACAATTAAATTTTTGCCTTCATTTATACGACTTCATTTATTGTAAATGAAATCCTTCATTAAAATTAAATAATTATTATTTGATTCTATTATAACATATTTTTGATTTAGCTTTTTTATACTTAATTCAATTCATATTATTTGGTTATAATTTAATTTTTATTTTAAAAAGTTTGATTTTATATAAATTGTATTTAATTAATTTTTTAATTTTAATCCTTCATTAAATAATTGAATAATTATTATTTAATTGTATCATAATTTAAATTCTATTTACTTTTGATTTAGTTTTCTCACACTTAATTCTATTCTTATTATTTGGTTATAATTTAATTTTTATTTTAAAAAGTTTAATTTAATATGAATTTAAATTTTTTTATTTCAATCTTAATTTATACATTTCATTAATTTAATTTCAACTTACTTATAATTTTAGCGAAATTAAAAATTAAGTTTTTGAACAAAATTAATTTTAATTTAAATTTTATAAAAGCTTAAAATTTATTTTAATTTTGCTTTTAGTTTTTATTTTTATTGAATATTATATATAAAAACAAATTATTAATACTTTCATTACAGATGCGTCACATTTACCATTAACATTTGCACCTGAATCTGGTAATATGTTGGGTGGTACTATTGTTAATATAACTGGTCCTTGCTTTGATCCAAATATACGTGTTACATGTCACTTTGATACGGAGGATGTTTTGGGTACATATATTAGCACTAATCGTGTTATCTGTGTTCAACCATTTTTGAAAGCTGAAGGATGGATACGTTTTGAGATATCTGTTGGTAATCAACGATTCAAATGGCGTGGAAAATACTTCGTAGGTAAGTCTAAATTAATCTATGCAATTCATCCTTGTAAAATAGAAACTTAGTATGTGGTAAATAAATGTATTCATTTATATTGATATGCATAGATAGGTAGATAGCGCAACATGTTCATTACATCTCCCTTTACTAACAAAATGATACACTATTTAGTCCATTTTGATGTTATATTATCACATATCATAACATCATATGATATTTTAACATATACGAGTATAACATTTAAGTGATTTCTAATGAATAAATACATTTAACAGAAACACCTGCTGCCGCTACCGAGAAAATCTACTTTGAAACTGAGGATGTACACAAGAAGGCACCCAATGAAATACAAATCAGCTGGGATCGTTATAATTTGACCACAAATTTCAATGCAAACATAATGATTTCTTTATGGGGATATCGTGAAACTACTATATAGTATGTTATGATTTTGCAGTATTTTAATATGTAAATAATATTTGTTTTATTAAATTTTAGTCCACAATTAGAATATATTGATGTCATTGAGGCTAGTCTCTCTAATGTTGGCAAATATGTGATATCACCAAGCAATTACATCAATCGAAATAATATCAATAATGATTTGCAATTCGGCTTTCTACAAATTAACTTGACAAGCCCAGATCAATATGCTGGACTAAAAATAAGTCCGTAAGTATTGTTAAAATATTTTCTCTTTTTATATAGAAGTATGTATTATAGTTAAATTTTATATAAATTTATAGATGCATTTTGATTTATAATTTTTTATAAATACAAAGTCTTATCATTTTTAATATCTTCTATATTTATTTTTATTCGCAACTCCAAATGAGTTTAGTATTTCTATTCAATGAAATTCAATTTGTAGTTCGCTTATTTCCAGCATGTCTTACTCAAGTAAATTGAATTCAGAGTCCATTGTACATGCAAATTGATTTTCTGCAAGCGAACCAATTGAATGAAGAATGAAAGGAAATATGTAGTGTAAGTGATAAGGTTAGATATTTTATTAATTTCAATAGATACACATCACCATGAATCGAAGTTTATTAAAAAGTTCTTTGTGAAAAGTGACTTTTAGTAAAAAAAAACTGCATTATGGAAGTTTAAAAACTAATAAAAAAAAAATAAAATAATATTTTCTAGTTCTCAAAATAGATTATTCAATTAATTTTATATCTAATGGTGTAAAGCAAAATATGACTTATATTATACAGATGTGGTTTATAAACATAATTTATTAAACATAACATAAAATAATTATTTATACAGTGAAATTACTTACAGAGTTTACTTTACTTGGCTAAATGTTAATTTGAATTTTTAATAATTTTGTTCAAATGAAAGAGTTTTTACTGTAGATTATTTTAGTCTATCTTATAACTTATGACTATGATTTAGAAACATGGAATAAAAACTCTTTTAAAAATAAAGGCCTTATGTTTAACATAAATCATAAAGTTAATTCTTATTAACAAAAAAAAATGCGGCCAGGTATCCTAATCTAAATGGATCTAAGCCTTTGTTATTTAAATAAACTTTTATAAGGTTAGGTTAGGTTATATCGGTGATTCTATGAATTCACTAAAGCCTATTGGCCGATTGGGTAAAAGTATAATAGATTATAATAGATTATAATGGTATGGCAATTTATAAAGGGAAACGAATAAGCAAATTATGTTTTAATATTCATATATCTAATTTATTTAACCGTGACATAATACCTTAAGTCTTCGTAACTTTTCCATTAACGAGGTTTTTAAGAAAGTATTGGGCACTCATCAAAAAAGTGAGCGACTGTTCAGGTAGCCAGATTAACTTTTAATTGCTTTTTTGATCCATAATTCATTTTGTCATTATTTCGATTTATCTGCGTAATTTATTTATATTTCACCTTGCTGTTCGTTGTGAATTTAGTTTGGATAGGTAGATATCTTTTATGGTTGGTTGGTTGGTTGCAGTGGCAGGCCGTTAGATAACTTCCATGTACCTTATTTAACAATTTTTCGCCATTTTGCTATCACATTTCTCGCAAGAACCCTAGTATAGAAGAGTAGAGACTAAATCCATCCCGCCGAATTTAGGTAATTTAATAGGTCTTTCATCGTTACCCTTGAACAGTCTGATAGACTATCAAAGAAGTATTTTTATAAGAACCTATATCTTTTGGACGCTAAGGCCGGACATTTACAGAGAAAATGTGTTATTGTTTCTTTCTCCTGCGGGTTTTCACAACTTCTGCAGTGAGGTTATGCGGAATAGGTAGTTTCTCTGCGTGAGTTCCTACACACCAATGACCAGTAAAAACTGCAGTAGAGATATCTTTTATAATCAGTTAAGTTTTCCTGCCAATCTTTTTAATGCAAAATTAAATTCCGGACTGTCATATATTATTTACAGACACAGTAAATTTTTACGAAAGTTTCACTTAAAAGGTAGTCGGCATTTAGTATGATATTTGCATTGATAGTGACCTTATTATATTCCAGTAGAAGGGCTTGTTTCTTACTTAGTTCTTTTTTTTTAATTGGCTACATATCTAAAATCGATTAGATTTTTTTGATGCCCGAGTTTAGTTACATGTCGATTTGAATAATGTGACAACTGTTGAGCCACACTGGCTTAAAATATTTAGTCACTGTGTGACTGCCTGAAGCTGCAGCCAGAGGGCCTACAATTTCATTAATAGGTTGAAAACTCTGACTGTTTTTGGTTTGCTTTGTGGGTTTTGTTGGCCTATTTTGTTTTAAAAATATAAATAAAAGTCATAAACTCATTTCTGACTTTCTAACCCTTCTAAAAACCAATTACTTTTTCTTTAAAGTTCTAGCGACATTTTTAAGAAAGTTTTATCTAATACTTAAATACACATACATACTATATATATATATATAAAAGAAATATATGAAAATGGCAGAACCATTAGTGGAAATTACGCGAAAGAGTGACAATTTTATTTGTACTTTCTACGTATTTTGTTCTTCTGCATTACTTTCTGGTACAGAGCACAGAATAATCTGCGTGTAATAAAAGTATTTACAAGTATTTTACGCCTAAAGTCACCTTGGGGTGTCGTTAGGGGCTGTCAGATGTTTAAGCCAAAGTCTTCGTTTTGAAAGGGTGACAGAAAATCACTTTTGTTATTTTTTCGCTTTTGTTACTGCGTTACTCAGCTAAAATGAAAAGTAATTGTGATTTAGCAAATATCTTTTCAAAGATTTACTACCACACAAAAGCGACATTCGGAGCGGTAATTATTGCATGCATTTAACACAGTATTTTGTATAAATTGTGCTTCTGTTTAAATCAGCGTTAAATTTATCCTCTTTATTAAAATAATAATGACTTAGGCACATTTATTTATATATATTCTATTGTTCTTTTAGCGCTTGTTAGAATGAATGAATTCATTAAAGTTTTATCATTTTTTGATTTACAGCATACTTTGGTCCAGACCAATACCACTGGCTTGGTATTTTAAACCGCAATGGGAGCGCAAGCATGGCGTTTATTGGCCACGGGCACTTTGCAATAATTGGATTCGACAAGATAGATTTTTAAGGTAATTTTACATAAATTAATTTGTATTTGCCGCACTTCAGCTGCAACAACAATTCAACGCTTTGTGGTATTTACTATGCGAATGCGTTGCAATTTGGCGCGCGTATTTTGGCCACTAATTAAAATCTGTTCTAGTGGCCTCAGAGCGTTTGGTAATGGTGTTGGTGTTGGTATTAACACGTTAGTTATAGTATTTTAATTAACGTTTTTTTGCTTTGTATACTTAACTTTGAACAGAGAATTTACCGCTGATTTGCCAATGTGTCCTTGCACACTGGAACAGGCTTTGTACGATAAAGGACGCTTCAGACCAGATCGTGAATGTGACAAGGATTCAAATCCTACTTGTTTGAGACACAAAACGGCTATACATTGTGTTGTTAGTGGTGCACCAGTGTAAGTCAAAAAAAATATGTGTTTTTATCACTTCATCCATTTAAATTTTTTTACTTAAAATTAATTTCTCAAACCTTATTCTTAAAACTGAAAACTAATGTTTAAAATTATTAAATTCATTAAAACCATCTTATTTAATTTATAATTATTATTATATATTTATGCAATATGCGATAATCATTGACATCTAAAAATCTTCAACAGCGCTCAAGGAGCTGAACAACAATGTTGCTATGATCGTTACGGTTATCTGATGTTAACTTATGATCAAATGTGGGGCTCACGTCCACGTCGTAATCACAATCTTGGTAAAATGCCTTGGAATGAAGCTGGTAAAGTACCAACACTCTCTAATTGGTTCCACGATATGCGTCCATTCTACTCCTGTTGCTATTGGCAACAAGAACAAGCTGTTGGCTGTGAAACATTTCGATTTGAAAGACGTCCATCACAAGATTGTGTTGGCTATCAAGCACCTGGTGTAGCTGGCGTCTTTGGTGATCCACATTTTATTACTTTTGATGGTTCGCAGTATACATTTAATGGATTGGGTGAATTTGTTCTAGCACGCAGTGTTGCTATTGATCGTCGTTTTGAAGTACAGGGTCGCTTCGAACAAATGCCAAAGAATCAATATGGTGCTGTTAAGGCTTCACAACTTACAGCATTGGCTATGCGTGGTAATACTACAACAACAATTGAAGTACGTTTAAGACCATTATTCTCACGTTGGCGTTATCGTCTGGATGTTTTGGCTGATGGACGTCGTATTTATTTCGATCGTGAAAGCATGAAATTCCAACATTTCGATGGTGTCACTGTTTACACCCCAACTTATTTATTGAATCAATCACAAGTCGTGGTTATGTTTGATGCTGGCATTGGTGTGGAAGTTGTTGAAAATGAAGGTTATATGACGGGCAGAGTGTACTTACCATGGGACTTTATTGTAAGTTAAAAATGTTTCTAAATATTATTTATTATTGATTATTTAGTTGAATAGAATTTATATTATAAACTTTTTGACCTTTAGAATAAAACGGCGGGGTTGTTTGGTAATTGGAGCTTTAATCCTTTGGACGATTTTGTGTTACCGAATGGACAAATATTAAACTTAAATCTTAACAATCTACAACAAATTGCAACAGAGTTTGGTATGAAATGGGCGTTAGCTGATCGAGAATTGCCGGGTGTGGGAGCAGCTTTGTTCACGCGAGAATTCGGGCGAACGGCTAGTTATTATGCGAATGCTTCGTTTACGCCGAACTATATAAAAGATCCGCAGGACTTTTTACCTGCTAATCGATCGTATGATATTCAGAGAGCGGAGGAACTGTGTGGGGAAAGTTATCAGTGTAAATATGATTATGGCATGACGCTGAATAGGGATTTGGCACATTTCACTAAAAATTATTATGATAGTTTAATTAATATTAAAACATTAAATTCGAAGTAAGTTGGTTGAAGGAAAATTTATGCATAGATACATAAATTAATTTATTATTATTATTTATTAAAATTATGTATTAATTAATTAATTCAATTAATAGACGAATAGTTTCTTGTGGTGTGTTGGAAACACCACGTTTTGGTCGCAAACTCAGCTTCAATTTTATGCCTGGAGCCAAAGTATCTTTTGAGTGTAATGAAGGTTTTATACTTTTGGGTGATCAGAGACGTGAATGTATGTCCAATGGATTGTGGAATGTGCCAGAATATGGTTACACAGAATGCTTACGTAAGTACTTAATTATTATGTTCTATTATAATATGATAATTTGAAAAATATGAAAAAAATTATACACATAAGTTTAAGTTTAAGAAATTGCTATTAAATTGCAAAAATTTTACAATGCCTGCCCTTGTTACACTCTTAGGTGAGGTCTTCTATACACGTCGCATCGCTTTCATAGCAATTGGTATTATCGTTGCTGTTATATTACCTTTAATGACTTGTATTGTTTGCTGCGTATATCGCTATCGTCAGAAGCAACTGAAGGAGGATCCACAATGGCAAATGACAACTTTACCACGCTCTCGTGCCTCATCGCGCGCTAACTTACGCCAGCTAAGTCATGGACCAGATGATGATAGCGATACAGATGCTACGGGCACATTAAAAAAAAGTAGGTCATATGATAAAGTATATCGTACGAATGAACCTCTACCGAACAAACCACGTATTGAATTTCCAGCTAAAAAATGGGATCTGGATGACGAGGATGTGACCTCATCGGAAGGTAGTGAAAATAAAGATTCAAAAGTAGCTAAGGATATTGAATACATTAATAAAACAGGTGACAAGCCGAAACAAATGGGTCGACGCTCATTGCGTTCTACTTCTGGTACTGATCAAGATCACGAAGGTTCACCCATAGACGAACATGAGGATCATGATGAGGATGGTGAAGAGGCACATGAAGTTGGCAATATACATCCAGTAGGTTACCATCAACCACCTTCCCCAGAAGAGGATGAACACAATATACATCCAGCTCTGCATCAACAATATAGTCCAACATTTAGTGGCGTTGATAGTCGCAATAGTGATGGCAGTCAAATGAGTTATCAGCCAAATGCAGCAATGCAAAATCGTTTTGGTGGTGTACCAGTACTACCAAATAATACACAATATTTTAATAGACCACCATCGGGTGTGCCAGCGAGTACACCATTGCGTCCAGCACCGAATGTTGTGCCTGTACAAACAACTGCCATGCCCATCACACAAGAAAGCGGTTTGCCATCTCCGCCACATGCTGCTTCACCAACTCCATCCGTACAAAGATCCACAGAGGTCTAAGAGTTCATACAAAACGTACCTACTAACAATACTAAATAAATAAATTTTTCAATAACAAAAGCGCCCGTCATGCATTTGTCATAAATAACCGCAAGCTTCATGAGTTCTCGTGCAGCATCATGAGTTCATACAATTTGCCGCATGTAAAAAGCTTCAAAGTTCAAATATTTTTTCATAAAAATTTCTTAATTTTATACATAACTTTTTTACACAAAATATAAATTCAGTTTGTAATGTTTTTATTTAATTTTAAGTTGTTTTATGTTTTCATTATAATTATGTTTCAACAAATATTAAAACCTAAAAAAAAACAAAACAAAAAAACTTTATGTTCCATCTCGCACATATTGTTTACTTTCCCACCAAAAAGAACCTGTTAAAGGTCATACGCCATGACCACCTACAATAAGTCCATATAATACCATAGAACATACCTGTAACTTCTGTGTGTAGTATCAGATAAATTTCTTAAATATTAATTTTACGACATAATTTATACTGTATAGCATGCATTTAACACTATTAGTTTATGTACTATGTAATTTATGTTCACATCATTCGAATGCAATAAAATTTGTTAACGGCTGGGAAAATCTATTTGATAATTTTGTTTTAATTTTATTAATCAAATTAAATTTAATAAATATATATTAATACAAATATTAACACAAATGTCCTTTTTAGTTATTAGCTAATAATTTCATTACATTCAAATTTATTTTATTTATTTTCAGTTACGATAATGCCAATTGTTATACCAAAGTGTGTGTGTATCGAAATATCTTTACTTTTTTCGAAAATAATCTAATTTTATATTTACCAAAAATTGTAAATTATTTTTATTATTATCTGAATTATTTAACAAACACTTTAGTGTAACAATTTGGCAATATGCAACAAAGAGTGAATAAAAAAATGGTAAATAACGTATTAAATTTTAAATTTTAGATATTAGAATTGTTTTTGAACAAGTACCTATATCATATAAAATCAGTTTTTTATTCTAATATATTAAATTAAAACGTAAATTAAAATAAAAATCAAGATACCAATTTCATTATCTGAAACAAAGTTTTATACATATTAAAAACAACACTAACCATGTGTAACACATATACTACACAGAATGGTAATTAGTTTAATAATTAATTAATAAAAAAAAATTATTTTTATCTCAATTTGCTACAACTTCATACGACCAAATACAGTAAGCTCTCGATAACCCGCATATTGAGCGAATTAGATATTATGATAATTGAGTCACTTTACTTATATTAATTATTATCATTATATTGTTAGGTGATGTAGCACTGCGACCGTCGGGTCTATTGTGCCCCCTTCTGAGTTTAGAGTAGATCTCTAAGCCCTGTTGCTTTAATAAAAAGTAGTATAGAACCTACTTTAAAGAGTTTTATTGTCCCTTCCGTAAGAATATACATTCCCAGGAGAGTATTCCGTACGTGCATTTTAACAGCACATTTGTGACCGATTCCTCATTGTCTTTACAGAATCTACAGCTTACATTCGTATGTATATCGTATGTATACTTACTTTATTGCAATTTATATAATCCGAAGATAGCGAAGAAAACATTGACTCAATGATTTGTGGTCAAAATTTTTTACTTTTATTTTTTATTTTATTTATTGATTTTTTTATGTACATACTATAATTACCATATGTATGTATTAGGTTATTGACGGATTGCTTATTCAACTATATTAAATATAATGATGCAATCTATATAACCCGCAGATAGCGAAGACAACATTGACTCAATGATTTGTGGTCAAAATTTTTATTTTTATTTTTATTTTATTTTATTTTATTTTTAATTTTAGATATAATATATAATTAATATATAATAAGATATCTAAGAACATTTTTTGTTTTTTTTTTGTGGAGGAGTTATATTGTGTTTCTTAGTTGTTTAGAAAATAAAATAATTTTATTAATTTTCATCTAATTATGAAAATTTTATATTACAATATTATGAAAATAGTTCACAGAAAATAGGTTCTTATTGCAAAATTAATATGGATGAAGTTGGTATATAGATTAAATAATAAGAAAATAATAAAAAGTAATATAAGAAAATTGTTATGATGTAGAAATATTCATTTATAATTATTAGTTTATTAAAAATTATTATAGTAAAACAGCGTAACCTATAAAATATTTATAAATTCATATTTATTACATTTATGAAGAACTGTTCTACTTTACAGAAAAATAAGTTCATAATTTTTTAATTTATTTCAATTTTGTTGGTAAATCTTTTTAAAATTGAAAACAGGTGATGAAGAATATCCTTTACGTGTTGCTAGTATTTCTCTCGGCATGATTTTACTCATTTTGATACCTACGTTATTGCTATTAGTTTGTGCGGCTAATTACTGGATTCAAGAAAGAATCGCCAAGGAAGAGGCGGAGGCTGCAGCCGCTGCATTAAAAACTAAAAGGAAAATCTAAATTGACGTGAATTGAAATTTATGGACTGCAACCGAAACCATGGCAAAATATTTATTTTCTCTATTTAAGTTTTAAATTTATGATTGTGTATTCAATTTAACAGTATTTAAAAAAAATGATAAATATAGATCACCTATTTTTGTTGTGATATAAAAAAAATAATTTTATACTATGTTGTATTTTTACATATATTATTTAGGTTTAATTTTAATTATGTATATTATATTGCATACTCAAATAAAGTTTTAAAAAAAAATTATTTGAAATAATTTGTTTAATATAATATAAATATATGTATGGTATATCGTATGTATACTTACTTTAATGCAATTTATATAATCCGAAGATAGCGAAGAAAACATTGACTCAATGATTTGTGGTCAAAATTTTTTACTTTTATTTTTTATTTTATTTATTGATTTTTTTATGTACATACTATAATTACCATATGTATGTATTAGGTTATTGACGGATTGCTTATTCATCTATATTAAATATAACGATGCAATCTATATAATCCGAAGATAGCGAAGAAAACAGTAACTCAATGATTTGTGGTCAAAATTTTTATTTTTATTTTTATTTTATTTTATTTTTAATTTTAGATATTATCTAAGACCATTATCTATCTAATATATAATAAGATATCTAAGAATATTTTTTGTTATTTTTTTAAAAATAAAATAAAATAAAATATAAAATAAATAAAATAAAATAATTTTATTAATTTTCATCTAATTATGAAAATTTTATATTACAATATTAAGAAAATAGTTCACAGAAAATAGGTTCTTATTGCAAAATTAATATGGATGAAGTTGGTATATAGAATAAATAATAAGAAAATAATAAAAAGTAACATAAGAAAATTGTTATTATGTAGAAATATTCATTTATAATTATTAGTTTATTAAAAATTATTATAGTAAAACAGCGTAACCTATAAAATATTTATAAATTCATATTTATTGCATTTATGAAGAACTGTTCTACTTTACAGGAAAAATAAGTTCATAATTTTTTAATTTATTTCAATTTTGTTGGTAAATCTTTTTAAAATTGAAAACAGGTGATGAAGAATATCCTTTACGTGTTGCTAGTATTTCTCTCGGCATGATTTTACTCATTTTGATACCTATGTTATTGCTATTAGTTTGTGCGGCTAATTACTGGATTCAGGAAAGAATCGCCAAGGAAGAAGCGGAGGCTGCAGCAGCTGCATTAAAAACTAAAAGAAAAATCTAAATTGACATGAATTGAAATTTATGGACTGCAACCGAAACCATGGCAAAATATTTATTTTCTCTATTTAAGTTTTAAATTTATGATTGTGTATTCAATTTAACAGTATTTAAAAAAAAATGATAAAAATAGAACATCTATTTTTGTTGTGATATAAAAAAAATAATTTTATACTATGTTGTATTTTTACATATATTATTTAGGTTTAATTTTCATTATGTATATTATATTACATACTCAAATAAAGTTTTAAAAAAAAATTATTTGAAATAATTTGTTTAATATAATATAAAAAATTAACTACATATTTTCCATAAATGGTTTAATTTGTAATAAGAGAACACTTACATTACTATATTTAATTAGTATTTGAGAAGATAGTTGAATGCAATGAATTATTCAATATGAAAATTGCTATGTTGACAGTGCGTCATGTGATATAGGATGTCCATATCTGGAATAATATAAAATTATATTATTTATGAAATTATATCACAACTCTGTATGTTAGGTCTTCTCTAAAATCGCTCTTGCAAACTGACTGGTGTGCAAAATGTTCACAGTTAGACTATTAGATTGCTGTCTTAGTTTTCTATATGCCATATAAAAGAAATTATCATTTCCTTATAAATCAAGTTGTTTATTACAGATCATAGGGTTTTGACTAATACTTCTAGTATTTTTCTTTATTTAGCATTATCATTTGGCAACATATGAAATAACTCTATAGTCTATTTGAAATAGTTTCATCTTTATTTTTAACATTGACTAAATTAAACTGAATTTTTTCAAATAAAATCTTTTTTTGGTAATACTTAAATAAATAATTAAATAAAGATGGTCAAAGAAGTAGCCCGAAATATCTGTAACATAAGTAATTTTGTATAAAAACAGTTTTTTTTATAAATTTATGTATTAAATAAACGACCTAAGTTCAGTAACAAAAATAAAAACTAATTAAATAAACTTAATTTAATAAACTTAAGTTCTTAAAAATTATTTTTTTAAATGAAATCATTTTTAAAGTTTAATTTTTATATATTTTTTCTAATACTTAAATAAATAAATAATTAAATATACTTAATAAGAGTTTCTAAAAATATTTTTTTTAAATAAAATTATTTTTAAAGTTTAATTTTTATATTTTTTGTATAATACTTAAATAAATAAATAATTAAATATACTTAATAAGAGTTCCTAAAAATATTTTTTTTAATGAAATTATTTTTAAAGTTTGATATATATTTGTTTTTTGGTAATACTTAAATAAATAAATAAATAATTAAATAAACTTAATTAGAGTTCATAAAATTATTTAATTTTTAAATGAAACCATTTCTAAAGTTTAATATTTATATTTTTTTTATAATACTTGAATAAATAAATAATTAAATAAACTTAATTAGAGTTCCTAAAATTAATTTTTTTTTAATGAAACCATTTTTAAAATTTAATATTTATTTTTTTTTTTTGTAATACTTGAAAAAATAAATAATTAAATAAT